CGCACACACACACACACACACACAAACCAACACACACACACACACACACACACACACACACACACACACACACACACACACACAGCTGAGTGTTTCAGCTTAACTGGGAAATGTGTTTGGAGATTGCTCGTCCAGCACAAGCCTGAAAAGCAGCAGAGATGCCGCCGACGTCTCCCTTCAAGTGCTTAGCATCTCAAGGTCATAATATAGGATCAAATCTATAACATCTGCTTTGAATAATGACCACATAGGCAGGAAATGTGTGCCGCCGCATCAATACTGCGAGCTGCAATTTTTGCACTGAATAGTGTTAACACAGAGACATTTGTCTTAGCTTAATTTTGTGCTGACAGCTTTACTGGGCTGAAAAAAAAAACTTGAGGCGATGCCTATTAGCTCGGTGTTGAGGTGAACTGTGGAAATAGGCAGAAAGAGACAAATAGGTTGTTGATGGAGCTCGAATTAATGGCGGCTACACTTTGCTTTTACAGTAGCCTCATTATTAACATGTGTATGAAAATGTTTTCCAACCACACAATGCTGCTGTGCTCTTAATGAACTCGCGTTGAGAGTTTTAGACAGTGGGACACAGGCTTGTACAAACACATTCATTATGATTGTGTACTTTGCTTTCTGGGTTAAATCCTCCTCCTCCTCCTCCTCCTCCTCCGCCTCCGCCTCCTCTGTTCGGTGGTTTTCAAAAAAATTACAAAACCCCAGTGCATTCGTTTTGAACTCCTGTTGCATTTCCAAGCCCTCCACCACAAAATCCTCTGACACTAGCAGGAAAAGTTTGTTGGATCAACTGTCACAACAATATTTGACCCTCGGCCTCTTTTCTGCTGGTTTTCCTGTATTGTGATGTTACCGCTGAGGCACTGAAGCTTTACTGCTGCACTTGCTGCAAGTCACTAAAGATAAAACGCCTTTGTGTGCAAAAGTTCAAATGCAAAAATTGCATCTCCACAGATGAAGGAAGACGTTAACACACTGGAATAAGGAAACTTTATAGAAATACAAAATTGCTCACATAGCACCATGTATGGATTGTATTTTACATTTGTCCAATGAACATGGGGATGATCCTGGAGTAGGCAAGGGAAATAATGAAATTTGCAGTAAACAGCTATGCCTGAAAGTATTTTTTCCTGGTCAAGCTTCCCTATTGATACTGCAAACACACTTAATAATGCAATCACACCATCTCAAGCTACACAAGCTAAAACTTACAGTCTTTGTTGCAATGCAGGAAGTTTATTCATCACTAATTACTATTAATTAACCGACTATAACTATAACTGAGGCATCAAAGCTCGACACAGTTTGCAGTTTGCACAGAAGGGAATATTTTATAGCGTATAATCAGATGTGGAGAAGGTCACTTTTAATGCACACGATGCCACAGACATACATTTTGTCACTATACAGATATTTTATTGCAATAGCATTTTTACTTTGGGGCACTAACCTTGCAGCTCTCGCAGGTCAGGAGTCCGTAGTGATACCCAGAAACTTTGTCTCCACAAACGGGACACATCTCGTCCAAGTCTTCGTCATAAGAGTAGTCCATCATTTTTATTTGGGGTGCTGCGGAGGACACACACACACACACACACACACACACACACGAACAGAGAGAGAGAGAGTCTATTTCAGTCTTTTCCAAAAAAACCCACGTCCATCCATCCAGATGAAACACTGGAAGCATGGAGACGAAACTCAATAAGATTTTAAAAAAACTTTTTGAATGTTTAGTTCAAGGAGGGGAAACAGACTAAAACACTGTATTTTGGACTTTAGAGGACGCAACACTTTATTTATCCTCGTTACCTTCTGTTCTACCGTCGCTGCGGACACGAGTAAAAAAAATAAGACAGAAAAATAATTCTAAAAAGCTCAGGAAAGCGAGCCTCATAAATATGCATGCGTCTAAGTCGTGGAAGCGCTGGGGGAAATGGAGAGATATTAGAGTTAAGGATTGGAGGAGAACGTGTTACCGCCCACAGACAAATGAAGACACACAAATAAAGACCTCATCTCTGCAGGCGAGGAAAAAAAAACTTCAACCAACATCAGTTTCCATCTGAAAGAATCTCCCGCAACATCACGGGGCGATATAGGTTGAGTTGATTTTACGCTTTATGATGTGGAGAGATATTCAAATACGGCGTTGTGCGTGAGCTGGGAAAAAAATATTCCGTTTATGATTTTTCCTGTCTCCAAAACATTTATTCAAAATGAAGAGGAACTAGCCACAAAACGATTTTTTATTGATTCTAATTCAGAATTACACAAATTCTACATTATTTGCTTATTTTCTCACATCTATTTTATAAAGTGTGAAACAGCAGGTAGATGATTGTGTTATTGTGGTGATTTGCAGTATAGCCTCCCACCTCTTTGCCTCGTGCATTAGAAATAGTTGCATTGATAAGACGTGTGTGTCAGTCAGAGCAAACAGTCAGGCTGACATTTACAACACTTACAAAAGCATTTATGGGTCTAATCATAAAAAAGCTGCCAGGATCAAACAGGAAAGCCTCAGTGGATGTGGCTGTAAAAGTGGAAATATTTTGTCAACTGCACTGCCTTCCAAGGCCTCACACACACTCGCTTCTTCAAAATCCACTCATCTGCTCACTGAGACCTTTTAATTAGACATGATTTCTGGTTTGTGAACGTGTTGCCCTGCTGGGATCCGCGCTGCATATTTCCAGCTGAAGCAACAAGTTCCAGCGAGCTGCCGTCTCTTTCCACACAGAAGCTGAAAAGCGTGAGCTCCGTTTCCCGAACTTTGTGCCGCGTAAAAGCGCAAAAAAAGGGGGATATGGTTTTACAAGGGGCCTGTTCTCATGACGCACGACGGCTGCAGATTTGGACGAATTTTACTAAAGAAAATAAATATTATCGGGACATTGGTTGTGGTTATGCAATGGAAGAGGCCGTGGTAAATATAAAAAAATATAGTAGATCCATTTGGGAATGCTCCTCAGGCCACAAATGAAGATTTTTTTCAGTAAAAAGGTTTTATACATATAGCTTATGAATCTCTAAAATACCTATATGCGTCTGCTGTGCGTAACAGAGTTGAGGAGTTAAACGACATTAGAAGCCGGGTTGTGTTGCAATATATCCCAGCAGATTTACCCATTTTTACGGTAAAGTTGTGCGTAATGAGAGTCGTGCATCCTTGCTCCACAGACAGATACGCGCAGTTTGGAGATGCAGAAACACGCCGCTCGGTCTCTCACCTGCTGCCTCTCAACTCGACGCCACTAGCTCCTGCACTTTCCCCCCCCAAACATCCACGACATGACTCAACGAGAAAATCCTCCTTCATCCCGAGCTCCCTTTGTTTTCACCCGCTGTGTTTACGCGCAGATAACAGGGCTCTCCACTCCTCGACTTGTGAGGGAGTGCGCTTTATCAGCGTCTCATAAACCAAGACGCGCGCCTAATTGACTGTCCGTTTAAAGCTGTGGGATGACACGAGAGCACTGAGGGTGTTTGTCCTGACTGAGGAGTCAGTTCTCTCTTCTTTGAATCGTTGCTGCTTTGTAGAAAGACATTAAGAACAAATATATAATGTTTTAATTAACGCCAATGGGAATTTTAAAACACGTGTCCAATCTGTAAAAAATCAAAAGAAAATTTCTGAATCGAAGCTGCATATTCATAAACCGCACATTTAAAGATCTAAAGCAATTCTGCCCGCAGTGTTTGACATTAATAATTAGAAAAAAATCTACAAAGATAATCAAATAAAAATGAATACTCATCTGATGCCTTGTTTAAATTTAGTTCAACCTGGTTTTGAAATTGGAAGAATTCTACAGGCCAGAATTTGACAATTTGCAGAAACAGAAAATTCTTTAAAACACAACAAATCTGTCTGGATTTATTTGTGACACAATTGCACACAATTTTTTACAACGTCTATTAAGTTGTATAAATTAGACCAGAATTTTTAGGCTCGTTGGACTTAAGTTATCTAACCCGGGGTCAAATATTTTGGCAGGGGACAAATCACCGAGTCAAACCTTTTAACATTTTATGGCTCTTTTTTAATAATTTGGCAACAAGTTGTTTTAACTGCTCTAAAAATAAAGAGAAATGGTGAGTCAACTGTGCATATTATCTGCTGACACCAAGAGAAGAGGTTCATTATAAATATGTGACTGAATGAAATCGACTTCTCTGCCTCTTAGTGTTTTTATGCTGACGCACTCCCAGCACGAGTTTCACAATAATCATTATTTGATCATCGGCCCAAGGTTTAAAAAGTACATCTGCAGAATTCATCTTTAAATCAGAGTAACTGATGGTTAGATAGTTACATTTAAAACTACAGCAAACACAATTTTTAAAAGCTCCGTGAAATAAGCACCTAAAATAAAAAATATACCACGTTGAATATAGAATAATCGCCTGTATTAGTGACGGTGGTTTATATTTTATGCAAAGATCGTGTTGATCTAAGCGCGAGCAGAAGTTTTGGTGACACTGAGTTCCGCACTTCCACGCTGATAACGCACCGTGAGTTCGCCACATGTGGCAGAAGCTTGTGAGTCTTGCGGTCTAAAGAGATTCAAATCAATGACAGTTCTTACCTTGCATAATCCTTGGCATGTGCCTGTGTTCTCCATACGATCGAGAGAGTCCCAGGGATTCAGTCTCGACTTTGGGCAGCATGTCAGCGCTGCCGGCCCGAGCTGGAGACTCCGCACCGCTCGGCGGGACACCTGGGACAGCGAGAGGCACGCGTTCCCAAACACCCCTCAGAGGGACCCAGATGTCTTTTGTCGCGGTCTGTTTCTAACTTTCTGTCTCTGTCTGTCCCCGGACTAAATGCTCCGAAAATTCAAACGACTCGGACCGTCTCCATACGGCCGGGTTGCATAGCTGGTGTGCGTCAACTTCACTAATTCACTTACTCATAATTGCTTTTGCGCATAAAAAAAGAAAAGCAAATTAAAAAAACGCGATAATAAAGCCGAGCACATGAGCGTGCTTCCCTCGGTAGCCTACTTATTAAAGAGCAGCTGCGCGCACTGAGTTAAAGGATCAGTCTCTTAATCAAAACGAGAAAACTGCGCAGTGTCCGGAGCAAAAGACGAAGGTAAGTTTCCCTGTAGCTCTCCCAAAAATCTGTTTTAGCGCGTCAACCATCAAGGTGGGACTGTCAGTGTAACTTTCAGCCTTTAGCAGACGAGTACGCGCAGCCAGGGCCGCCCTCTCCCGTGCGTAAAAGTCGGATTCGGTGTGTTGGTCGGACTGTCTGGAGATGTGGAGACCTCTCCTCCTCCTCCTCGCGGCTTTGTTTACTCCGCTCGCTCCAATCCGGGGCGCATGCGGTCGTCTGACATCATCCCTCACCGATCCAATCAGGCGAGGAGACCGGGACACATCGCCTCAGACCCTCCAGCTCCACATCTCCAAAAATCTCAGCTGTTAAAACCTCGTTAATGACGGACTTTAAAACGCGGAGACAGCGCGAGGAAATCAAGAGAGGAGATGCAGCGGTGGCACGTGAGAGCAGAGTCTCCATGAGCACACGCGCACCGGTACGCAAGCTTCTATCAATTTGTTTAAATAAACTCTTTATCTTTATATATCTGTTGCATATATTACATTCTGTTATTTAATTAATCCATTTTAGCATCGTGTTCTGCCCCTGTGGTCATCACTAAAACTCAATTATCATCACCCCTGATCATTGAAATGTCATTAAATATAATCAAATACAATTTTATAGCCTTTTCTTTCTTTCTTTCTTTCTTTCTTTCTCTCTTTCTTTCTCATTTTCTTTCTTACTTTCTTTGTTTATTTCTTTCACAGGGCATAATAAATCCTGCATGACACCCATAGCAAACATAGATATATTAAACATGTAAAATAACCCATGTGTCATATTAGATTTGGGGCTTTTTTTCAGATTTGGGAACATGTCAGCAGCTCCGGCCTCAGGCTTTGACTGGCCTTTATTTTCGGATCAAATCTCCCCCTTCACGCAATAAATTATATCTGTGCTTCTGATTTATTATCAGTAATTGGCTGAGCAGGGATCAATTAGTGATCTGACGTCAGACTCGGGCTATTTAGCCATTTCCAAATTAATACACAAAGACTATGTATCGGCTACGTTTCTGTAGTAATGACTCCCCCGGCTCCAACAGGCCACAGCATGCTGGGGGTCTGATGATGAGCAGAGGGAGAAAAGTGCAGAACTTACGGGGCGGACCACCAGACACACCAGAAGGGTCACAGAGGGCACACACACACACACACACACACACGCACACACACACACACGCACACACGCACACGCACACACACGCACACAAACACACAGTCGTCAAAAGTACTTGAGATTTCGGAGTGAAAATTGCATTTTAAGAACCTTAACATTGAACGTAAAGACTTTTCCCACATGCCCTTGTATCCATTTTACATCATTTTGTGCATTCCTCAACACAATGTGTCCTCTTTTGCAAGTGAAATATTATTTTTACCTTCTTTTCTTGAACAGTTTTTCTGTCGCTCTCGAATACATAATCTTCTAAAACTTTCTTAAGTCAGGGCAATTTAATCAAATGATTTATACCAATTATGATGGAAGAGTTAAACCAAATGCTCAGTGTCAGTTTAAAGGGATTTAATAACCAAGAAATAACATCTTTTGTTTCCTCTTTCTATTCCTCATATAGGACCCAGATGTAAATCCAGTTATTGCAATAACATTTGAGTTCTCAATGTTCAAATGGTGAGGCAACGTTGGCAATAAGACATTATCATGTATGGAAATAAAAGTTTTCATGTGCATCATAACCTGCAGCTGCTTTACATAAAAATGAACACACACACACACACACACAC